CTCTGGCTGCAGCACCCTAATCATGTGTAGAGGAAATTGTTGGAAAATTACTAACTTCTATAACAGATTAAGAGATTCTTACAATCCTGCTTGACTTTGGTCACTTTGCTGCAATATGTGAGCAGTTTTATCTGTTTGTCAAATAAACTGAGCAGTTAGACAAAGAAATTTGATTTTGGAGAACATCAGACAGCATGGTTCCTGTCAAGGCTTACAGGCATAAAAAAGTCACAGAATATCATCACAGTGGTTATTAGGGGTGCAGAATAAGAAAAAAATCAAGGAAAGGCAGCATGATGGTGAGAATGAGTGACTCAAAACTGATCCTTATCAAAAAACTTCTTGGTGTGTTAAAAGAAACCAACTTCTGCAACCTGTATTTTTTTATTGTACTAAGAGAAGAAATAGATAAGTGATTTTTAGGCAAGAAGCTCTAATCAGTGATTTCTAGTTGAGAAGCTCTATGTCAGCTCTATTTTCTCCCCTGCAAAATAAGAGTAGGGGAGCAGACAATAAGCTGAAAGAGCTGGCTTGTGAGTAGAAATTACAGGCACATGAGGCATTTCCAGCAGAACTATACTGAATAACCTTGAAGAAGGTACCTCATCTCCAAGCTGAGAGATGCAATTTTTGTTCCTAAAGCATACACTTTTTACACAATTGGTTGACAGGTATGACTGACATTTTCGTTGCGTACTTGACTGATCTCTCTCTGTAGTTCTTTGTCCAGTGTTCTGAGGTTTGAGTGTGGTCTGTGAGCTATCTTGCAGTGAGTATACTGCTGTTTGGTTAAACCCATCAGAGACTTCCACTTTCAATGGAAAGCTCAAATAGGTAATAAAATATTATCTGTGCTAATTTTATAGTCTTTTAAATATGAATTATCTGCAAATTTGTCCATTAATTTGCATAAATGCCTTTATGATGTGCTATGCAGAGTCATAGGTTTTAACTTTTTCAACAGAAATAGTGTTTTCAACAGTCAGTCTCAGTCATCTTAATTTAAAAGAATTTATTATTACTTCTCAGTCTTATGTTTGCATTTTAGTTGAAGTGATAAAACTATTTTACCACCCAAAAACTGATGAGGAGTATATGAAATGATCATTATTTACTATAGAGGTCAAACTTTGCTATGCTTAATAGATGAAAAACAAAGATAAGGAGTTTCTGAACATTTCAAGAGGAGTAGTCACAGGTCTTTTAATTAAATCAGTCTGCAGTGGGTATATCCTCCACAAGCTGCCTGGGAGGGTTTCCACAGGTTAGGAACTGAACTAACTTAATTTATATGGAGGCAAAGAAAGGCAGTGAAGCAGCAGAGAACTCTGTGAAACCAATTGGCAGCGAGCCATCTGTTAAGCAACCACAGCTACGTCAAAGATATCTAAAAATATATCAGTTGGTTTGGGAACATAATGCCCTAACGCAAATAAAAAGGCACTTTGAAAACAATAGAAAATGCATTTTTAAATAAATCACATTTACTAATATAGCAAGGAAATATAAGAACTACTGCTCTCATAGAGATTGTTAGTAAGTCCTGAATAGTTCTGCAAAATAATTATTTGTTAGTCTCTGTTTCTCCTCTCTGGAGTAGAACCTACTCTTTTATTTCAGTCCCGTTGCCTCTCTCCCTGGCTTCCCCACAGCCTGGCATTTCAGTCATGTCCAGTCTTCCTTTTTGCCTCTCCTGAGTTCTGCACTCAAGTATTGTCCAAGCCACCTTGTGCAGTCTTATTTCCATCCCACTGACTTTATTGACTCGCCCTCCCTCTTCTCTCGTCCCTGCCGTTGTGACAACCCTGCTGCTTGGACTTCATCTCTGCAATTCGCTCTTTCCACTGAGACATCCTCATTCCCTTTCTCCCCTCTAAACTACAAATCTACCTTTCATTGCAACCTCCAAACTGGCCTTCCTGCATTTGTGTGTCTCTCCTAAGCTCTTGCTTTTACCTTCAATTGCTCCCACTTTTATAGAACCCTGCTCTTACACTTTCATGATGTATGCATCTGTCTTCTTTGCACTACCATCTCATGCAGGAAAAACTGGGAACACTTCTGTCATTTTAGTACTTCATGCTAATCTACTGCAGTATTTTCCATCTACTTTTTATCCAGTCATCAACTTCAGGTTTGAGAAATCAGCCTTGATTTGTGATTGTTATTTTGCACCAACACTATGGCCCACTGAAGCAGGCAAAAGCTGGCTGATGGTGAGACTACCAAGAAAAAACTGTCCATGAAACAAAGTTCAACCATGTTAATTCAGCCTTGCTAGTGTTCTGGTTAAATCTGAAGGTGCCAAGTCACTAATTCTTCAATAGTTTACATGCAAGTAGACATTAGTACCAGGCTGTTAACTCCTCTCAGCTGGACAGAGGTGAATATCTAGTTTTGACATCTCTCTTCCACCCTTCCTTCAAACCTGAAATAAGGATCAGAAAAACCCAGCCACCAGCACTTTGCTACACTGTTAGGTAAAAATAAGAGTTGTTACAAATAGACAGCAAGAATCTACAATTCCCTGCAGCACCACTGATTTCACTCATATATGTGTAGCTCATTAGAACGTACTTCCCAGTGTGATGGTGATTTCAGTTCCTGTGCACTGCACATTTTAAGTCATGTTATTTGAGGACATCCCATGAGTGGACTTCCCAATGGCTGATTTCAAGAGCAGATGTTACTGTAAAAGTTGTTTACTTAGCAGCAGACTTTTTTGGTTACATCCACCCAGTCAGGCTGCAAATATGAAAACAGGAAGCATTCCCCTGTTTGTAGAAGTCTGCCTGCAGTAATAAATATAAGCTTATATATTTTGAAACAAGTATTTTTAGAAACTTCTACTGAGGGTTGTACTGGTGTTTGGACTTTCTGCCCTTTCAGATTTTGTTGCTTAGTCTATACATTTTTAATAATCACATTGCCTGCTAGCAGTGACATTTTGTGAAGGTCATTTTTCTTGTGAAGTTGGAGAATGGACTTGAATTTCATTGAAGGACTCCCTGAGCTGCAGGATCGTTGTTTATGGAACTCTCTTGCATCTTACGCTACCTTTGAAGCCTGTTTAGAATTTTAAGTAATGATATCTTCAAAGTGTCACTGTGCTCAAGGGCACTTTATATTTAAAACCAGTTTTTAATAGCTTTGAAGCATGGTATTAGCTGAAAATAAAAGGCATAGGTAAAGACTTACTATATACACACAGAGAATTTCATGTTTCACCAACTTTTTCATTGTCAGCAAAGTGTCCCTTCACCATTGCAATGCCTTTTTCTTCTACACTATAATAATCATCAGGTCTGTGGATAGTCTTAAGAATTTTTAATGTGTTTGATAATTTAATACCTCAGCAAGTATCTTCAAGCAGTCTCCCTCAGTGGAGAGGGTTCAGTTTTGTCTACATCATTCCTAGCCTGCTGCTTCTCTTTTCCCCTGTGTAGAAATACAGACACTGGGTTGTATTTTTATGCCTTTTCTGTTTCTAAGGAGAGGGTGCCAGATACTAAAACCTGCATGCTATGCTTGAAATAAAAGAAACTGTGATGTCAGGTACTGAACCAAAATTGCTGGGTTTTGTGTAAACCAAAGTTCCTGCTTTCCACAACCAAGCACATACTAAATTTGCTTACAGGTTTACTTGGTAGCTGTGTCTGATGTCATCTGATACTGACATGTTCCTTTAAAACATGTTAAATGTTAGTGGCAATGTTTAAGAATGTGGCCACTTGAATATCTGTTGTTCAGGGATTAATTTTTTTTCTGTTTTATATATTGCTTCCTGTAAGTGTTTTACCTGGATAGGTAGTATAGGACTCCTGTATCCTTCTCATAGGGATGCCATTGGGTTAATTCTGTCATTTTTTTTCTCTATGACTTTGTTTTTCTGTTTGTAAACTAGCACCTTACAAAAATACAAGGATGTAATTTATAATTTAATCTTTCCCACAAAATAATTTGTCAGGTTTTCTTCCATTTTATTCTTTTGCTGTATCAAACAGCCAAGAAAATATAGCTTATGCAGAGTGTCTTCATATTTAAGATGTTCTTTTCTGGTTTGATAGCTGTGCCATCAAAATGTTGTAGTTTGGCTGGATGTTTTACAGTGGATTTCACAGTTTTAAGAGCATTGCTAACATTTATGAACATTGCTAACATGGAACAAGATGATGCATTGAACAGCAACTACTGTGAGGGAAATGAAGAGAGGGTAGGACTGTAAGCTGCCTTTGAAATGTCATATCCTAACCAGTCAGAAGCTGGGAGACTGGACGGATTGCACATTTGAGAAAATTTATCTTGGGAAATAAGGATATGCATGTTCCAGAAAATTTATTTTCCATCTGATTCCCTTTGTGGAAAAAGGACTAAAGAGACAAGAATTTTCAGACTCTGCTTCCAGGCTTCTCGATGCCTACTGCATATGGACCACTTGTTTGGACCCACTGTTTTGCTGACATGATCAAAAGGGAAGGACTCAGTCTCTGGCCATTATCATTACCATTTTACGATTATCCTGCCTGCCTGCTACATGGGCTTCCCTTTGCAAAGCTTTTTTTTTCCTGTCTTCTGCACAGACCAGTTCGCCTTTCTCATGCCTGGGAAAACCTTAACAGGAAAATGCACATGAGATTGAGTAGGAGGAGAAGGCAGCATCTTTGCTTATTTCCAAACATTCTTCCCTTTCTGTTAGAGAGAGCTCTTGTTACTTATATGGTTTTGATTAACATTGAGTATACATGTAGGGTCCTGACTTGTAACATTTTCTGTAGAAGTCTTTACAGTACTGCTAACAGTGCTTCTTCCCAAACCCTTGTCTTTCCCTGTTTTATGCAACCAAGAGAAAATTCTTTAACATATTTCAGTGTTGAGAATTTAGCAAAGGTGTCTCTTGGCAGAAAAAAAATTCTATATTCTTACCTAAATTGTAGCTGGTTTCATATTTTTCTTGTCCTTGTACTTCTTCACTCACTTTGCTATTTAATCTTTGATTGCAGGCCACTAAAGAAGTAATAGAACGAGAAGCCCCAGGGATGGCCCTAGCAATGCTGATGGGATCGCTTAATGTTACTCCTCTGGGCATGCTCTCTAGGTAAGACTATTTCCCTCAAAATACAAGGTATGAACTATTTCTGTAGAAATACACATTGTCATGAAATAACTATGCACAAATAACTGAAGATTGTCATTGTTATCAAGAGTAGAAGTCTTAACTTCAGAGAAGTGGCTGAATTCCAAGAATAATTGCATTCTCTCATTTAGTTCCCTTTGTTGTCTCCATTACACCCTGTATCCTCCCATATTTCCTGTGCCCGGTTATTTGTAATATTGATGCATACTGTTAAACAGATTTCTTTTCATCCTAGAGCTGTGGCATTTTGGTGGTGAGTGAAGAATTCTTCTGTATATTGTTCATCAAGTACTAAAATGCTTCGTTTAGCAAAAAAACCCCTTTGATAAATACAAATGTATTGCTGTGATATTGCTTTTATTTCAGTATCAGCAAAGCTTCCTCGATAAGTTAAATGGCATTTTATCCCATGCTTTCAGATCTAGTTCTTTTAACTCCTAGAATTTGGTATTTCCTACTAAATAATTAGTAACTTTCTCTCCCTGCTGTTTCTTTTTTATTGGAGATGTCTCTTGTGTTCCCTTATGTCTTTCTGGAGTTGATTGTAATTTATTCCTTCAATTTGCCTCATTTTACCTATGATAGACTTAATAATATCAATACCTTTCATAAATTACTTTGTGCTTGCACATTGTTTCAAGGTACCTAAGAGACAATGGCTGTTAGTGATTTAATATTATATATATTAAATATAAAAATGATTATGTAAGAAGGAGGTTTAAAATCTGCAACTGTGTATTCAGATACTTGCTTTTTAAAAGGGCATTTAGATGAGAGGTTTATTGATTCAACAAGGTATTTAAAAATTTTTCGTATCATATATCACGTATCTGAAAGGACATTACCAAGTTAACACCTTCAGGTTCTGTCCAAATTAGCAAGTAGTTTCATTTTATTATCTGATACAATTTCTTATATCATAGTTTGTGTTTATCTGAAGGGAAAGGAAAGCAGAATGCTACCACAAGGAGAGGAATGGTTAATTTAGCTGTTATGTTTCTGATCAAGAAAAGGATAGCCATTTAGATAACACTACCAAGTTTGATTTAGGATGTGGTGTGATCAGGGTGGCTGAAAGGATATTGTAGCAGTAAAACCAAAATGCTGGATTGCAACTTGACTTTTCTGTATGTATAGCAAGAAAACGTCCCTGAACTACAGCCATTTTCTGTAGTAGTTGATGACAATGATGGGGGATAACATTACAACAATACTACATGCCATCATATTAGGCCATAAAAGATCTTCAGTGAAAACCTTTGCTTCAGGACTAAAAGCAGTCAACTTGCAAAAGGCCGTTATTTTAATAACACTGTTCAGATCATAATGTTAACTACACAAAAATTACAAAATTACAGCATTATGATTTTTTGTGCAGTCTCAGTTATGCATGGATGCACATGTGTGTCATGGTTATATTTTTTTGTAGAATTGCTCTGCAAATGCTTGAGATGGAGGAAGGAAATTTACTTTTCTTTGTTTTGCATGTCCTATGTATAATCCTGTATTGGTTTTGGTGCTCTTTATTCCAAACCTTCTCTGAGTGCAGACTCACTTCCTCTGAGATTTTTCTTACATCATTTGTTATTCCAAGACAAAAGTTGTTTTGATATATTTTGATAGAAAATTCTGCAAATTGAGCTCATGTTGTAATTATACCTTACAAGGAGAACGAAGGCACACATAAAAAGAAGTTAAAAACACAACACTAATTTTAGGTATCCATTTTGAGAAATGTAGATCTTAATTTTTCAGAGTATCTAACATTAAATGTCATTTGTCCTAAGCTTAACTCTCATTGGCTTAATTTTTAAATTAAGATCTAATGGATAATTTTGCATGTAATTTCTTTGACTTTTCAAAAATACAAAACCAGAAGTTCTGTTACGCAACATTAAGCTGACAGGTTGATAAATTACCTGCAGTTTTGGAAATGTTAGGTCAATCTTGTTGAACTTTATCACATGAACTTTTAAAAGTTGTTGTAAGTTATAGGCTGTCTTCCTGACTATGGGCAGCATTAGGAAGTGGTGAGTTATTTGTGGACTGGATTCACAGATATTTATGGCAAATTAGGGGCAGTGAGACTTGTAGTTGGGGTTCACTCCCGTGGTACAGCAGGGAGGATCAGAGAGCGTCATAGACCTTTTCAGGTGTTTCCTGGAAGTGTTCCCTTTTCTTCTCTGTCCTTCCAAAACTGTCCTTGTGCCAAAATTATCTTTTCCTTTTACCCGATTCCTTACTTGTCAACTACCCATGCCCTGTCACTCTTTATTGAGTCTTTTTAAAGCAGTCTCTGTCTCCTTGCCTATATACTCTACTTTTACCAGCATAATTTCTTCCGAGGAAGATCATGTTTTTTTTCCCAAGGAGATCATGTTCTCCATTCCTACTTCTGTATCAGACTTGTAGTTTTTTCTTCCCACATGCATTTTTCTTTCTCCTATGTCCTGTTTTTCCTTCCACTCCCTTGCTTTTATTTGTATTCTTATTTCTCAAATTTTTTTTCTTAAAATTTCTGTCCACTGCATCACGAGGCTGAAGATGATATGAGATCTACAGTATCTCCGTCACCTGTTCCACATTTGGAGGCATAGAATTAATTGATCTTTCAAATTACCCAGAATGCATACACATTTTGAATGTTTTTATGTTGTGAGCACACTGTTTTTTTTACAAGCCATGCAGTTCTTAGGTACTTTTACTTAACTTTGCATGCTCTCTTGAGAAATTTTTGGCAGCTTCATTTCTGTCACGAGCTGCTAGATGTTATTATTGGCAGCTGAAACTTGTAGCTTTCAGAGGAATGGCTACTGGTTTGGTCCTTTTTTATTATTGGTTGGCTGTACTGTCCATTTAGCTTGTAATATTTGAAATTATTTAAAGCAGAATAAAAGAGCCAAGAAGATTATTAAAGGAGCTATCTGCCAAACACAGTTCTGCCATTTTTTAGTTCCTCCATGGTTAATTTCTTTTTCCTTTAGTTTGAATCTGTCATAAACTGAATCCTGCATATGGGATTGGCTGGATTGAGTTCGTAAATCTGACTACTGTAAAGAAAGTAAATGAGCACGTTTCTTTAGGTCAGGCGCTTTCCCGCTGTATTGCAGCAGAGCATTCCTCAGCTGCCTGGAACTCTTTCTTAATTGAGGGTATGTGGTATGCAAGAAGTGAATATGAGGAAACAGAGGCAAGGAGTCAGGAAATATTCAAGCTGCCAGTTGAAAATGAAACTTCTCTTCAGGCTGGCTTGATTGAGATATCAAAAGTTTGTTTTGTGGCATGAACTATGTGCTATTTAACTGTAAGCATTATGACAGCAGTCACTAGAATACCTGCTGCCCTCCTAGAAAGTGCCAGGCTGCCAATAAATTATATTAATCACTGAGTAATAGTTGTATAAGAAACTCAGGGAATTTGGCTACCCCACAGACTGTGTCCTTTGGCTCAAAATTTTTGGTAATGCCCCATGAGAAATCATTTTCTTTTCCATTCAGTTTGAAGTTACGGCTCATGTTTTTCTTTGATAAAAAGATCGTTACACAATTTGTCTCAGCTGTAGCCCCCATATCTTTGTGGTTTTCTTATCCTTATATCCTAGCCCTGGATTTTTCACCACTGGTTTTGTAAACAGTGGAGAAAACCAGGAGGCACTCTTTAGAACCTCGAAACAAAATCCAGGACTCTTTTTTTTTTTTTTCTTGAAAAATGTAGCTAAAAGGAGGAAGAGACAAACCCTAAATATCAGAAAGCATTCAGCACTTTTAAGTTCATCCCTGCCCCAACACCAAAGGAATTCCCAAAACACAAAAAATAAAGCAAAGTCTTCATCTTTGATAGCCATTTTCCCCTTTTTGTGAGGGAGAAGGAAAGGCTCTTAGCAAGAATTAGAAGGAGTTACAATTATAATTGCATAAGTGCAAATTTCACTTGACAATCACTTCCCTCTGTGCTTTTCTTATGTTGCATCTTTGAAAAAAAAAAGGTGATATATTTTAATTAATGCAGCCACCATGACTTTGTGTTTTTATTGGGGAAGGGCAATAGTGTTTGACACCATAAATTGCATTGCAAAGGAATCATGTGTATGAGGAAATAGGGGCTGTATTAAAAAAAAAAAGTATTGATACAAGTGAACAATAGAATTAATGGAGCTATGCAGATCTAAAAAAGAGAGAAATCTAGTCAGTGCTTATACTATCAATTAAATCTTAGAATCTGTCAGCCTTGTTTAGTGCTTTTTCAGCACAGCTTCTCCTGAGCTGTTTCATGAGAACATGATCAGCAAATACTTTTAGATGTTGGAAATTGAGTTTACAAATTCTGATAAATAATAGAAGTTCTCTTAAATCGTCTGTTCTTGTTTCAACAGTGGAGAAAGTTGCATGCAAGAATTTCACTCTGGGCTTCTTTCTTTTCAGACCTGTGTGTGGAATCAGAGGGAAAACTCTCATAATTAATTTGCCGGGTAGCAAGAAAGGGTCACAGGTAAGAAGTGGAAGAGTTCTTACTAATCTGCTACTGAGGACACATGATAAGTATCTTCCATTGTTCTGAATGGCAGAAAGCATCCACTACAACAAATTTTATAAAAGTAGATTGAAATGTATATTCCTCTGACTGCACGCACCAGCACTCTCAGTCAGGAACAATACAGTTCTGATCTGGCTGAAGGTACTGTGTGACCAGGACAGCATCGCCTGTAGTGCAAGAAAGCACTCAGTGGAGCAGGCAGTGCTGATGAGGAGTCTAATGGTCTCTCACACTTCCTCCTCCTTCTCTGGTCAGCCTCTACCTGATCCCTGTGTTGTCTACAGCTTCCAATAAAGTGTTCTTTTTCCTCACAGAAGAAAGAGGAAGGCCTCATATAGGGTATGAGTTGCTGGTCTATGAAAAAACTTCCAAATTTTGGAAAAAATGTAACATCATTTTTAAGAGTTTGAGGATTTTTACAATCTTTTGGATAGGGGCATCGGACTTTACACCTTTTTATACAGTTTGTTTTCTTCCTGCATTTTGCTCAGACAGAGAAACTAGGCTTTATGTTTTTATTCATGCTTACTTTTTGACTGGAGGGCTGAGAGAAACACAAGTAAGCATGAGGAAGAATTTTTTAATGTGTGCTAGTAGATCTGGATCTTTCCAATGCCCTTTCTTTCTGTGTGGCTGGCCGATGGATCCAGAACAGCCTTTTCCACACAGATGCTGCAAAGCTGAATGGTGGGCTGCACAACCTGGTAGAAAACCGCTGTGCTAGATCTCACATCAAATACAACAAAATACTTCTCCAGGGCTCAGACTGTGTCTCTGGCCTTGTTGAAAATGTCCTCTAACAAACGCATACATGGTAGTTTATCAACACCTTCTGAGCCAGTAGTACCTAGTCACAGAGAAGACAGTACTAATGCATTTGGCAGCACAACCTTGAAGTCACTTTTGCTTAAAAGACTTATGTCTGGAGATAGATAAAGAATGTGTATGTGGCCTTTACCTGGAAGTTGAAGAGGAAATGTTTTGAATACTATTATCTTAAGCAGCTATTCCACGTTTTCAAACACATTGTCTACATGTTTCAGTTCAAGGACTCAGTAAGCCCTTCTATGATTCTACCATTCCTTAGAGCCTTTTAAGGAAATCAAATGAGACTCTGTAACTGAAAAGAAATTAAAAAGCTTTCAAAACATGGAATAAGCATAGGAGGATTCTGGGGTGGGAGTAAACCTACTTGAAAGTCTTTCAATTTTGAGTGGAAATTCATACATATGTACATGTATTTAACATAGCGATAGGCCCCACATCTTATAGAAGTGGTGCACCAATAAGAAGATTTTTTCAGAATTCTGTACTTCTTTTGTTGAATTATGACAGAGATGAAATAGCCTGCAATCTATGGTGGTTTTTGTTGTGTTCAGTAGCACTCCTAACACATTAGGTACAGAAAAAAAAGTAATTTTCTGCCCTGAGGCACTCAGATGGGAAGACAGGTAAATTGTAGAAAGAGGACGAGGAAAAGAAATGGAAAAAATGTTAGTAAGTATTCTAACAATAGTTTGATATAAAGTAATGAAAAAGGTAATTCTGCTGGAAAATAAAAAAATGTCATATGATTTCATTATATAAGCAAGCTCTTTATAAACTGAGGATTTATTTGTTCCCGTCATGGTGTCACAATTTATTTTAATATGAAACATCTTTAGAGTACCAGATTTCAGCAAAGATTTTTCAGATGAATAGTAGAGAAGATTGTTCCATAACAGGCTGGATCTCAGGAACCAAATAGGATGGGTTGTTACCAGGAGTTTCAGTCATTTCCCTCTTTTATGACTTGCTAATTCCTTTGTGTCATGTTAATAAAATCATATATCAAGGTTATATAAAGATATGAAATTGCAGCAGTATACATATTTCATTAATAAAATATTAAAATAATAATAGAAAATGGCAGCAGTGTAAATGCTCCATCTCAAAAATGGACACGATGCGTGTCGAACGTGTTTTCTTCAGAGAACATTTGTGTGGCATGTACCCCTGAATCAAGATCTGTAGCATGCTTCCATTTTGGTGTTGTTCTGGCCTGCCTTCTTTTCTTCTAGCTCTTCAAAATGTATTTAATATTGTGAAAGAGGGCAGTGTGTGAAATTATTAGGTGCTTGTTGAAATCATTGGGTTTATGGCAATTTTCATAATTGTACCAACAATTACTTCAAACAATTACTTTTACGAATAACACGAGATTTTAGGGTACTTACTGGGAGCCTATTCAGCAACAGTCGAAGAAACAAGGCTTTATTTCAGTGGTAGGAGTGGGGAACATGTTTCTCTAATAAGTTAGTCATTAATGTACTTTTTCATGATTATTGGTCAGTTCACAGACTGTTGTCCTTGTTTATCACTTACTTGAGTTCTGCTTTTTTAGTGATTTAATGATGGTTGTATGCTTCAGTATTTTAAACGATTATAAAAATAATAGCGTGGAGGCACAATAACTCTGAAGTTTGCAGTTACATTAGAAGTTATAATTCTTTATTATGTTTCAAAGTATATTTTAATATAATATTCGTTATATACAGCATCTTATGCTCATCCAGTTTACTCCAGTTCTTCAGAGTGCCAAATTGAATGTTTAAGGAATTTGTAAATATATGAAGTAGTCTCACTTTTCATTACTCTTAAAGGAGTGACTGAAAGGTGGGTTCTTATTTAGAAATTTTGAGGAAATACAGTGTTTGTGAGTCATGTTTTTGACTTACAAAGTGGCTTACATAAATTCAAGTAATTTCTTATGCGTGATTTACCCTTCATTTGCATCACATAGTCATTTTTATTTATTGAAACTATCTGTTACAGTATGTATTTACAAAGTGTTTATCATTATCCATTTTCTGGGTACTCTAAAATGTTGGAATGCATTTTTTTAAAATCTTCCTTATGCTAGAAACAAAACCAAAAATTAAGTGCAACAAAAGGAATGATGTCAGCTTTCTGTGTCATCTTCTATGTTTCTGAACTGCACTGCCATGGCAATTTATTATTGTGACCATGCAATAGTTTCCCAATAATTTAGAGTTTATATGCAGTCTGCTTAAATGACATGAAGAAAACTTTTTACAGAGGTGCCTGGGAGGAGGATGAGAGACAATAGCCATAAATGGAAGAAGGTAGCTTCCAGTTGGATGGAAAGAAAAGAAAAAAAAAAAACCTTTGAGGGAAGTTAGGCATTAGAACAGGTTGTCAGGAAGGGGTGTGGAGTCTCTGTTGTTGGATTTTTTTTCAAGACTTTACTGAACAAAGCCCTAAGCAACATGTCTGAATTTCATATTGACCCTGATCTGAGCAGGAGACTGCAGTGCATGACATTCTGAGGTTCCTGTTTGATCTGATAAAATACTAGCATATTTGAGCAGCAGAGGTAGATATATATATATATGTGTATGTCCATTATGGAACAGACATCTGCATATTTTTCTTTCTCTAGCCATATCAAATAAACTTTCTAATTATCCTGAAGATTATAGGGCAAGGAGAGGATTGAAAAACAGATTAAGTTACATAAAATTATAATGACAGCAATGTAGTTTGTCATTCTTCCAGTACATAGGATGAGTCTGTGAATAAAAAAGGATGTAATTATATAAAATTATAATTATGGAAACCCTTATGAATTGTTCTCTAATTGTGAAGGAAAATAACAGGAATTATTTGAAGCTAGTATCCCTGCAGGGATAGAGTTAATGGGCTTTTTTCTATATTTTTGGAGCATTCTGCCAACTGCTGTGAACTGTTTTCTGCATTATGTATTCATGAAAATTTAACTCTTGTTTTCTGAAGTTTTAATCTAATATTAGCTTAATTACAGTAACCTAGGGTACAATTTACTATATTTGCATGAAAAAAGGCAAAAATATGTAGTATAGCCCCCAGTTCTGGTTTCGAGTTTGTTTTTTTACCCTCTAGGAGTGATTGCATAGGGCATTTAAGGTTTTATTTATGATTGGGTGGAAAGATATATCTAAATCCCCTATATATTTTAAGAGTAAATCTGAGAAATCCCTGTTTACTTCTGCAGGTGACTTTTCATAGTCATTTCTCTTCTTGTTGTGCCTAGGAATGCTTTCAGTTTATACTGCCAGCCCTACCTCACGCCATTGATCTTTTGCGGGATGCCATTGTAAAAGTGAAGGAGGTACACGATGAGCTCGAAGATCTACCTTCACCACCACCTCCTCTTTCTCCTCCTCCAACCACCAGCCCTCACAAGCAGACAGAAGACAAAGGAGTACAGTGTGAGGAAGAGGAGGAAGAAAAGAAGGATAGTGGAGTTGCCTCAACAGAGGACAGTTCTTCCTCACATATAACAGCAGCAGCCATTGCAGCTAAGGTGAGTCTGGCTTGTTTCCCTAAGAGACCCTTTAGTTTCTATCTCAGGTACTTTCCACCAATATTTATTTGCATGTTAATAATATATATTGATGTCTGTGTGGTCAAAGAGGTGTATATTAGGTACGTTTTGTAGAAGTATAGCTTCATATGAGTGTATGAATCCTGCTCCAGTAGGTGATTTGAAACTTCAGTGGGAGGTATATTGTTTATTGTCTTGATGATAATGTGCATTTTTATGATACTATTCTGATGTGACAGAGTGGGATGTTTTTAAATTAAAGTACTCACATGCCTGAACATGCAAAGTCCAGTAGGTGGCATATTGAGAAATTGCAACAGAATTTTCTAAGCCACAGTATCTACTTTGAAAAGAAAATGTTGGTTTCTAAAAACATGGACAAAAAGTATGACAGATAGGTAGCAGGCTAAGTAATAAGCTGTCCAGGCTACTGTATTCCAGTGTGCATGAATGCATAAGGGAGATGAAATTGTGCCACAAACTGAATATCCTCACATTGTCTTTATAGCCTTGCTTTAACCAGTAATCATAGATCAACATTACTCAAACCAAACCAGTAAATTGGAAGCTACAGAAGAAAAAATAGGTAATACTTGCAAATTATTTCAGTTCAAATTTCAAACGTTTTCCAAAGAAATACCATATTATTTGAAGCAATATGTAAATATTTACCTTATGTTTATGTCTCCTGTTTTCAAATGGAAAGACAGTGGATCCCTCTGTGTTTGGAAAGCTTTTTTTCCAAACTGCTTTGTTCTATATTTACTCCACAAATTGTACTTTTAATTCCTCTTACGAGAATTGAAAGTCTGAGTAACTCAAAATTATATTAAAGAATTTCTAAACCAAAGCAGCAACATTCTAACTCCAGAAATGTGAATTCAGGTCTGAGACATCTTGACATTTCTAAGACAGCTGCAGCTGGAGATCATCCCCTCATGTACAGAAAATCCTGATTACATATATCTTTACAGGGATGAATTAAGGTAATTATTACTTGCAAGTTTCGGTTTTTATTAATGCAAATTTTAAATTGTTTAATTTCTTCTGATATAGGCAAAGAAAAATAATATATGCAATTTTTAAAGGCAGAAAATACCTGAGATTTAAACTGTCTGTGTTCATATGAGTTTGGCATTTCAGTGTCACGCTTGTTTTTGCCTCATTCCCTTTTGGTCATTTCCTTGTACAGTTTCTTGTTTTCCTGTCACTGTATTCATAGCTGTTATGTGTTGTGCATTAGAAGCATCCATCCTACACCAGTTCAGCTGTTATCATGGCAAAAGGTGAACAACCCATCCCTGGTCTCATCAGTTATTGCGATCATGCAGCAGGCAGTGCAGGAGAACCGGTAAGAGACACTTCCAAGAGGCTTTTGCACTAACAATAGCTAAAAATACACTGCCTGCCTCCTAGTCTACTGTGTGAACAGACAGTGTTACTTATTTTCTTCTAACAAAGACACATCAGTGCTATCTTTGAGCGAACATGCTGCAGAAAATATTCTCTTTGAGATACAGGGCTAAACAAGGTAAAGCTCGTGTGCGTGTCAGCTTGAATCATTTGGCTGCTGAGATAATCATTGCTATAAAGCCTGTGTTTCTGATTAGTCATCAGCATTATCATCCAATATACACAATAATTGAATAGAATTAAAATAATCTCTTAAAATTACTACTTTAGAGCTGTTAAATTTTGGTAACTTTTTCCCCTTCGTTTGCCTCGCTTTGCTTTTTTCTCTCAATTGTTTGTCAACCTGATACAGCATTTGCACTGGGTATTCATAGTTTGCTTTCATCACTTGCCATTTTTCCCTTATTTTTGTATTCTGTTTAGAAGTAGAATTTTTCAAAAACAGAAGAAATACAGTGGACTTATTATAAATTACTGTATTTTAGTGAATAGTAGGCAACTACTTCAATGAATGGTAGAAAGGACTTAGTTTATTATAACCTAGAGGTTATAACTCGGGCTCTAACAAAATACTGTATTTTCTATCTCCCAAAGATTTAGTCTAGCCTTAAATTGAGGTAGAATAACAGCTCCAGTATCATGAGGAATTAAACATAATTTACTGTATTTGTAACTGTAGATTAGAGAAACCTAAGGCAGGCAGTTGGCCTTAAGAGAGTTGTGCTGCCTGACCACCAGTTCGTTCCTTATCAACCAGCAAATGAGGTGTAAGTTCTTGGGGGAAATACGTCACTAGATGTAGCGACCAGAGTCTGCACTTTCCTGTTCCCTTAGACAAACATTAATTTAAGCCATCAATCAAATAGCGTAACATCTCTGTATTTAAAACATGATGACCTTGTCTCTTAAAAAGTCACTTTGGAAGTGTGAAGGCTTTAAACTTCACACACCTAATGACAAAATTATATACGTATATACATATATACACAAACACACTTTTATTCCAACAGTTTCGCTGCTTTGATATGGGGCTACTAAACTAGAATTTGCACCATGTTCTTCAGTAAATTCAACCCCTCTGAAGCACAATGTTAAGCTGTCATCCAGGCTTCTGTGCCCATTTGCAGATTACTCCTACATTATTGGTTTATGTATTCTATAACCCAAATCAGGTCTTCAAATTCAGAGCAGGAAGTGGCTTAGTTTCTCAGAAGGTTATTGGTTTTCTTTAAGCTGTCTTTTCTCTATGTTTTTAAGATATTTTTGCTCTTCTATAACAATCATAGTAATTGCAATCTGCAGATCGTTTTCTTAGTACATCACCAACACTGTCAGTCTTTGTTCCAGTCCTGGACAAAAGAGAATAAAGAACTCGTATCTTTTCCATTTTCCCCTTCTTGTCAACACTTAGTTCTCTAACACAATGTGTGACAACACAAATACTTAAACCCATGTAAAAGTACTTCTGGAAAAGGCTTCATCAAGTAAAAAAAAGTGGAAGCAATGGCTGATAGATATGGTGGATATCTGTCTCTGTCATTTCATTCATTTCTCATCCATTTTTCTCCATCAGTATGTTGGAACAGGTTTTTCAACAGAAAACTATTTTAAATGAACTTACAGATTTATTGTACCCTGTTTAGAGTTTTGAGACATCTGCGCTCTTAAATTTGTTTGAAACTGGAAAATGAATTGATAAAATTGTAGAGACTTTATAAATACTCAAGAGGGTGATTTTGTGAAAGTTTACCAAAAAGAAAAAAAAAAAAAAAAAAATCCAAAATGCAACAATATTCTTATCATTCTCTACGGCAGATTTCCAGGAAACAGAAATTTCTCATGGGTTTATCAGTGTCTTAAACAGGGCTAACAAGATGTTACCTTGATTAGAGATTAGATTGCCTAAATTCAACTTTAAAAGGAAAAAACCTTTAAAAGTATGTTAGAAAAGTGAGACTTTCACCATACATATTATGTAACATATATGGATAGAAGTGCCCATCAGATTCTATTGTCCCTTTCACTTAACAAGCAGTATATAGCCATTATATTTTTTTATCTGTATACTTTTATGCAGTATACATATTAATACCTTCTCTGAAATTGTAATGGTTTACAGGGCATATTAATGCTGATTTTAGCAATGCACTTCGCTATCACATTAGGGAAATAAACATCTTGAGAGCAAAATCTGTAACTGTGACCTAACTTCATTCTCTCAGTGAGATTTTGTGTCTGTGAAAGTTAGCAAGTGGAAAGCTGAAGTTCTAGGTAGGTTTATATATGGATTGTTTTATGGCAATTGTATTTTCTGTAAAGGTAGTGATTAGGGTCTAATTCTCATTGAAATGAAATGCCTGTAATCATATTTTCCCTTTATCTTCAGCCTCCTTTTCTGATTAATGTCCTGGCTGAAATTTAACTTACATTTTAATTTTATCACAGACAAAAATTATTCATGCAATTCAATGCAATTCAATGGAGACTAGAATTATCTCAGGTACTTTTTTGCAGAGAGAGGCTTTTGTTCAGAAAAAGTTGATATCAGATCATTTTAGAAGCAGTAATGGATATGGTGGATAGAAAAAAAAATAACCACAAACACCCAAACTCTTACTTGCCTGAAGTAAGCAAATTGTAGAGATTACAATATGTAATATCTGGTTACTCTGGAGTAACCAGGGTAAAGCCAGGGAGAACTAGATCATGGTATCATTTGCAAAAGCAATATCATATTTGTATGGTGGGATCTTAGAGCATATAAAAGAGCTAATGGACCCATACACAATCATGCCAAGATGTGTGCAGCTTTTTGTCAGAGGAAGATACAGAAAAGGTGTCTTATTTGAACACTTAAAACTATGATTTCTTTTATTGTGTCTTTTTTATTTTATGCCTTTGTCGAAATGGAATTTTTTTGCTGTATTGTCCTTGGTCATAAAGATGAAAAAAGGAAGCATTAAAGGCTGTAGGGAGTATTGGAGCTATGCCAATATAAAAGTTAGGGATGTCTAACCTTTTTTGTGTTTTTAATGTATTTAAGATGGGATTTCAGGAGAAAAAGAGAACAGCAGGGAAATGGTGCTTCTGCCTACTAACTGTCTGCATGCTCAGAATACCTTTGCCCCTGTTTACCTCTGTTTATAGTACATCTCTAAGATGCCATTTGCAAATCAGAATACTGCAAATAGAGGACAGTTAGGCACTGTTTCTGGAGAGGAAGAGATCCCCAGCATAATCATCCATAGTAAAAAGAAACTCTGCTGACTTCATCATTTCTAGTGGAAATTGCAGCACAAGTTAGTTAGCCCTGAAAGTTCCTCTGAGGAAAGCTGGGGGATTTTAAATGTGGACAGAAATTGACTGGCAAAAAAATATTGTCCGTCTAGAAACACAGTCGAAGAGCAGAAAGCAGGCAGTTGGTGGCACAAAAATGATTACAGGGCTGGAGCACCTCTGCCATGAAGAAAGGCTGAGAGAGTTGGGGTTGTTCAGCCTGAAGAAGAGAAGGCTCCAGGGAGACCTTATTGCAGCCTTTCAGCACTTAAAGGGGGCCTGCAAGAAAGACAGGGACAATCTTTTTAGAAGGGCCTCTTGTGAAAGGACAAGGGGTAATGGTTTTAAACTAAAAGAGGGGAGACTTAGACTAGATGTAAGGAAGAAATTCATTTCCACATGACTTATAAACAGGATATAAACATGAAGAAACTCTTTAAGATGTGGAGGAGGGTTTATGGTGAAATAAGATCCCCTAGGTGTATTACCCAGTATCTCTAAGTTAAGGTTGCTAAGTTAGTCATAGTCATTATTTACAGATAGGAACCAAGGAAATTGAGGGGGAAAAAATGACATAAAAAAGCAGTATTTAATGACTTGAGTCTTAAGATTGATCATTTTAACTGCACAGAGACAGGCGACAAAACTGTCTTAATATCCTAATGCTAAGAATGCAAGAGATTTTAAAAGCTAGGATTCAAGCTTGTTCCTGGAAGGTTGTAACATTCCAGCAGCTTCAATCTGCCCTAGAGCCTTCCTGGGCAAGAATGCTCAAAATGCCTGGATGCAGACTGGGAACAGCATCTCCATTAAAAAAAAAAAAAAAAAAAAAAAATCCTTGCTGGAAATGTATAGTGTTAGTGGTTTGTCTTGTCCCTGGGTCTTCATTTCTTGCTTCCTTTTATAGTCAGCTACTGCCATTTCCCCCAAACATGGGGGTTCTTTTCGTAGATCTCTTGGAACTTGAGCATCAGGCTGAGCTAATATCTTAATGAGGAGAAAGATCTTAAAATATGTGTATATATATTCCTTCAGGTATCTGAATTTCTACATTTTCTGGTCTGCTGTGATAGAAAAGTGAATTACAAGAAGTAAGAGCAATCTAATCTGGTAAAAGTGCTGCTTCTGAAAAAGGAAGAAGTTAAAATCATGAAAACAAAATCAGAATAAGCCTTTGCAGAGAGTGTGTTATAGTGAAATATCTGCTGCATTTTGCATTGTGTAGCAAATGTTAGAGATCAGTACTCCTGTCTCAGGTATTTATCATTGGTATGTTTTACCATTTACACACACACAATACACACAAAGTCATTACGTTCAACTAGAAATCTAGTTAGTTATAAAGCTGGTGTGATATCTCTATGTCTGGGCCCAAATACTGCAGTAATAAGAAGCAACAGACTTTCTAAGACTGGGTATATTAAAGCTAAGAAAAGCTTTATTCTTAAAGGCATTCTTCGATCTCTTTTCTTTGGAGCTGTTGATAAAACTGAACAGAAGAGGCAGAAGTTAAAACATCATATATATAACTAAAAATAAGACCACTTTCTCACTCTTCTAAGTTGGTGTAATTCCATTTATTTAAGTGGCTTAATAATATCAGCTAAAGGATAGTCCCTAAAATTCCATCTTAGAAATAGACTCCTAGAACCATAGCTTGGTTTGGGTTGGAAGGGACCTTTGAAGGTTTTCTAGCACAACCCCCCTGCAGTGAGCAGGGACATCTTCAACTAGAGCAGGTTACTCAGAACCCCGTTCAACCTGTCCTGGAATGTTTCCAGGGATGAGGCATCTGCCACCTCCCTGGGCAACATGGGCCAGTGCTTCACCACTCTCAGTGTGAAAAATTTCTTCCTTACATCTAGTCTAAGTCTCCCCTCTTTTAGTTTAAAACCATTACCCCTTGTCCTTTCACAAGAGGCCCTTCTAAAAAGATTGTCCCTGTCTTTCTTGCAGGCCCCCTTTAAGTGCTGAAAGGCTGCAATAAGGTCTCCCTGGAGCCTTCTCTTCTTCAGGCTGAACAACCCCAACTCTCTCAGCCTTTCTTCATGGCAGAGGTGCTCCAGCCCTGTAATCATTATTGTGGCCCTCCTCTGGACTTGCTCCAACAGTGTTCTGTGTTCTTGTGCTGAGGGCTCCAGGGCTGGATGCAGTACGCCAGGTGAGATCTCACCAGAGAAGTGCAGAGGGGCAGAATCACCTCCCTCAACCTGTTGACTGCACTGCTTTTGATGCAGCCCAGGAATACAGTTTGCTTTCTGGGATGCATGCACACATTGCTGGCTCACATCCAATTTTTAATCCACTACTACCCCCAAGTTCTCCTCCACAGGGTTACTCTCAGTCCCTTTATCCCCCAGTCTGGAAAGATACCAAGGATTGCCCCAACCCAGGTGCAGGACCTTGCACTTGGTCTTGTTGAACCTCATGAGGTTCATATAGGCTCACTTCTTGAGCTTGTCTGGGTCCCTCTGAATGGCATCCTGCCCATGAGGGACACCACTCATTGATGATCTCTATCTGTTGACCACTACATCTGGATGTGAGCATCCAGCCAACTCCTCATCCACTGAACAGTCCACTCCTCAAATCTGTATCTCGCCACTTTAGAGAGAAGGATGTTGTTGCAGACTGTGTCAAGGGCTTTGCAGAAGTCCAGATGGACAACATCCATAGCTCTTCCCTTGTGCACTGAGGTAGGCACTCCATCCTAGAAGGCCACTAAGTTGGTCAGGTAGGACTTGCCATTGCCATGCTGGCTGTCTCAAATCACCTCCTTGTCCTTCATGTGACATAGCGTATCTGCTCTGTGATCTTCCCAGGCACAGAGGTGAGGCTAACAGGTCAATAGTTCCCAGGGTCCAGATTTTTAGAAATGGGTGCAATGTCCCTGTTTTTCCAGTCACCAAGGGACTTCACCTGCCTGCCATGACTTTTCAAATATCATGGAGAATGGCTTGGCAAATACATCCTCCAATTCCCTCAGGAGTCTGGGATGCATCACATCAAATCCCATAGACTTATGTATCTTCAGGTTCATTAGATGGTCACCAACTTGATCTTCTCTTTCAGTGTAGGGACTTTGCCTCCTGGTTCCCACCTTGCAGTCCAGGAACTCAGGAGCTGTGAGAAGGGAGGTTGCCAGTGAAGACTGGGGCAAAAAATTTGGGTTCCTCAACCTTCTCCTTGCCAGTTGTTACCAGTGTGCCAGTCATGTTCATCACAGGAGATGCGCTTTCCTAGCTGGCCTTCTACTACATTATGTGGAAACAAAACAAAAAGATTGTGTTTATTTTGCCCTTCAGAATGTATTTTAAACCACACGTTGGCTTTGGGTGGTGGTTTCTAGTACTTTTGCCTGGACTCCCTCCACAGAGACCTGTAGCTTTTGCAGCACAAACCTTATATCAAGACTTTTGTAGCTGAAATAAAGTCTTCAGTACACAGGACGAAGAGTATTTACTCACTGCGTGATATTTCTTATGAGAAATTTTCTCACTGCATGACATTTCTTCAGAGGGGCTCAATCATTGCTAATAAATGGTTTTCTGTTCAGAATATTGTCCCCTAGTTAGAGAATGGGAAGTCTGCCTCCCCTCATGCCACAGTAGAAATCCCTGTTGGTCATTGTTGGGTTTGAAACAGAGGCTTAAGAGGAAAAACATTATTTTCTTATTATTTCCTGTTGTAGTATGGTGACTCATAGGTTTTTCAGGACAAATATGTTCTTTGCTACTTCAGTGAGAACATGGTTTTATATATTTGCTAGGTGTTTGTTACTGAAATTGTGAGAACATGCCATTAACCACTGCCAGCCCTGAGTATGAGGTGTGCAAACTAAAGAGTGGGGTATTCATACATTTTTGACGTACAGTTTTGAGTATAGTTTTTTACTTCTAATTCCATCTCCCTTCTTTTTAAGATTCCAGATTCCATCATCTCTCGTGGTGTTCAGGTGCTCCCACGTGATACAGCCTCCCTCAGTACTACTCCTTCAGAATCTCCTCGTGCCCAGGCCACCTCTCGTCTCTCCACTGCATCCTGCCCAACACCAAAAGTAAGTAAATTTATGCCTTGCAATCTCCATGCTCAGACATATAATCTATCAGATGAATGTCTTGCCTTTGCTGAACAAGGTTGGTTCGCATGGAAGGGTTGTATCATTTAAGTAACAGAAAAGTTCAAGAACAGCGTAGCTTGTTCTGTGTGTACTGTTGTGGGTCCACCAATGCATTATGGTTACTGAAGTTTCATGTTATCTCTTGCAATATCAGTCATGAATATGAAAATGTTAACACCTTGAAGGTCTTTAATATCCCCAGGAACATAGATAATCCTGCCACTGAGTAACAACATTAAGCAAGTAGTATTTTTTGACAAAATGTATGTGCAAATTTCTAGCCTGGGCTGGGGCAGTTCTTTGCCCCACTTTATTAGTGTTCAGTTTAAGACACTTTCCAACCAACTGGTTTTCCTCAAACTTAGATATTTGCTGCCTGACATTTGGAAACAAAAACCAGCCTAAATTGAATAGAAAGAAAGTTTTAATGCCAACCTTGTGGGATTATTATTTAGTTCTTACTGATTACTCTATACTAGTTAATCAATGAGGTGAACTCTGTTATGTTCTCTTTTTATCAAAGTTGAAGTAGCATACATCAAAACCTCAGTGAATTGACCAGTGGCAAGGCATGTAATGTTTACCGTCAGCAGGATTCCTTTCAGCAGAAGAAAACTCTGCCTGAATTCGCTTTGCGCATTCACATGGCAAAGATCTTCCTGTGGCACCAGATGCTGACATACTAATAGACCCATAGCAGATGGTAAACAGTAACATTCTTCCTCATCTAATTCATGATCCTTGAAGATTATTTTACTTGCTAAAGTGATTGTTGGCATCTGCTAGTTCTTCTTCCTGCTGTCTCATTCTCTTCTGTCAGCAAACAAGATTTATTGGCAGCCACTCACAGAAATGTTTTGGTATAGCCTGTGATATGGTTTTATGCAGTACTCACCTTCACTGTAATGGAATCAAAATTATTCTGATGGACAGCATACTTGAACTTCATTTTACAGTCTACTTTTCTTAAGAAGATGTTCAGTGAATTCTGTCTGCAAGCAGCTCCTTCATTTTTTTTGCTAAAAAATTGTCACTTGTCTGATGGCTTCAAAATAAAAACTCAGAGCTTATTACATTAGAACACTAAGAGCAGAAGAGCAATATGAAACAGAAGAAACTTCACTGAGTTTTATGCCTGTTGATAAAAGTGTCCAAAAAAACCAAAGGAGACCAGTAACAGGCATAAAAAAGAGACAGCACTGCTACAAAATAGCTCAAGATGAAGCCTATATGTTTTCAGGAAGGTTATCACAATAGGAAGGAGTAAAGCTTATCTCTGGGAAGGAGAATGCACTCCTCTAGGCTGTCTTCAAAGATTCAGAGATTATAGAAGGAAACTACAAGAAACAGATTAAAAATCTGAAACTCTTCTTTGGGAAATTAGTTGAGATGAGCTCTTATCATAATTGGATCATGCTTTGGTATTTCATGTTAAGCCCTGTTTTTCATGTATTACTGCAAAATCAGATTTTGTTCAAAATGTGACCACATCACTTTGATAACAGGAATTGCCGTGCAACATCTAGCCAGTCTAGCTTTTTGGTGATGTCTTTCAAAAGTGGGTGGTACAAGCTGGTAAAAGGAAGGATCTAGGGAGGCCCAACTGCAAAATGAAGGGCTATCTCATCTGGTCCCATTACCTAGAGGTTGGATTTTGCACAAAAGCATAAGCTTCTTTGCCACTTAGCTCTTGGCTCGTTTTACTTATTTACTTTAAAGAAACCCAAACAATTTGTTATCTTTGTATTCAGTCCTTTTCAGTATGCTCAAGTTCTCAAACATCATCTGAATTTGTCAAGAAATATAGTTCATTCATATTCTTCAAGACTGTCAACATGTCTAAATGTCTGCACTTACTGTGTTTATCTTCTGGATCCTGGCCTTCCAATAATGCAATAAGAATTAAATGTAAACCAGACCTCTTGACCCACACAGTGAAAACAAAGATAAATTGCACTTCAGCATCCAGTTGATATTACAGGGGTTTTCTATTCCTTCTTTAATCTCCAAGTGTGTATCTTTTCAATATTATAATTTGCTGGTTTAGGAACTAATTTCAGGGTTCCAAAACATGCATATATGAAATGAAACAAAGGAGAGGAAGTTTCAGAAGAAAAAAAAATAGTGTTCTTTGATTATAAATGTTGTTTACGGTGGTAGTCTAGCCAAAGAGCTAGTGACACTGTATTTCTTTGTCAACTACATATTCCAGTTTATTTTGTGCAGCAGTTTCTTGTATTATTTTGTCCTAAATGTACATAAACACTTACATCTCCCTTGCTGAAACTGCTGAATAGCAGAAAGTTGTATGTCTATCTCAGGAAAAAAAAGAAAAAGTCAAGCTTCTGCAGTGACAGGAGCACCTCAGTTGAATGAATGTGAACAGCAGGTTACTGACGCATGGGGGTACTGGAGAAAAGCTGTGGGAGATTGCATTGCTAATACTCCTGATTCATCTGTTAGGAGAATTCTTTACCTTTTCATAATTATATTTTGGAAAAACTAACGTTGTTTGTATATACACACAGGTCATGTAGACAAAATGTAGACAACATTTAATTTGAAATTTGCTTTACACTTTGTCTTTCATGGTTTCTGATAATCTCTGGTTCTAACAAAGTAGTAAACGATGAATACTGCGTTTGAACCTATGTATTTCAATCAGTCCTCAAAAGTTTAATTTCCTGATGAAAGAAGTAATTACATTTTTCACTGTAGCCTCTTGGGAGGTCAGAACTTCTCAAGGCAAAATTCCACTGGGACTACTCTATCTATCATTAGGTACATCCTCAAAACTAGGCAAACTTGCTTTTGCTAGCTCTTAATAAATCTCTGTAGAACACCTTCCTTGTTCTCTAAATTGCATTTGAGTTTCAAGCAAACTCCACTGCCACTCAGAGAGCATTTAAACTATATTTTTAGTAGATGGATTCAGATATAGAAGCAATGTGAGTTTTACTCAAGGGAAAAACTGCACTAACAGTCCTCCCTTTTTCAGTCATTCAACCGTAAAGTTGATAGTGATTGTGACAGATATTTTTATCTTTTACAGTGTAGTTTTGGCCTTTTTAAAGTTTTACTGCTATCTCAACAAGGTTAGATGAATTTGCTCAATACTCACATGACAGAAGTTTAGAATGACAAAGTATGGCTTGCAAGTTTTTCTTGTCATTTCCAGTAACTGCTCAGATTCTAAGATCTTACTATATTTTTGTGTATGTTTGTGGTTGGCATTTTCACAAGGTTAAATGCAATGTTCTTTTCAGATACAAAAGCAATACACTACCTAGTGTAAAGTACCTTTTACAAATACGGAAATTTTTTTGTGTGTTTGAATCAATGTTGACTCTTGGAGCTTTTTTGAACTTAGAGTATAAAATTTTACATCTATAACTTCATATAACTTAAAAGAATATATCCAGAGCAAGTGACTGAGTCATTCCTTCCAACTTTTAATTTTGTTTGACTGTTAGGGAGATTATGTTAGCATAAAAGAAAATTACAGCTTTCAAATTGAAGTCTTCATTTTTCTCATACATAAGTGACGTAATCAGTTTTCAATTTTTGGCAATGTTGCGTGTCAAAGTCAAATGAAGCAGATACAGAAGACCAAGGACAGGTTTTAAATTACCACCAGGAATACATGTCAGTGACAAGAGGTGTTCAAAGTATTTAACTTCGCAAGATCATCAGTGTCTCTGATGTTCAGTTTTTCCACTTCAATGTGCAAAGTTTCTTTCAGTGTTATCTTTGATCATGAAGAATCCTAAGGAAGTTTTTATAGTACTTTTAAGAGGAGAGCATTTTTTCTTTTTCCATCTTGCTACTTCATTCTTGACACTCCTTATATTCTACTTAAGGAAAATTCTCTGTTTACTTGCTGGTTTTCTGTCCCTTCCTAGCAACCTATGAGCAGATAGGAGCAGCTAGGGTTGGGGAGATACTGTTGTATCAATTACCATTATGAAGTTTTCAGTAGAAATATTCAGTATTTTTCAGTAGAAGAAAGATCAGACTGCTTACCAGAAATTCTTAGTAAATATTAAGAAGATTTTTGGGACATGGTTTGACAAGGTGTAGTTTTATCCATAGAGCAGATATTTTATGTACACTGAAAGCATTAAATTTTGTATTTATCTTGATTCCGACTAGTTCTTACTTGACTAAGTAGCAAGTGCTTTGGCACAGCTATTTAACTGTCATATGGTTGAGGAGCATGGAGAAGTGAAAAGCATGTTCTACATTGTTACGATGATCTAAGTCATTGAAATCACACGCTGAGCACTACAAGGGTTTCTTGCTTTTTCTTGTAAAACAGTTGTGTATAAACACACGAGCTTAGATGTTTGGTCCTGATAAAAATGCCAATGTTATCTTCATTATTTCTGGGCTTTATTGTATCTGAATTTTTTTTGGTACACATTCCACAATTATAAAAAATTGTATTTAGTGAAAAGAGATGCTGAGAGAATGCATATTGGAGTAGAAAGTAGTGAGAGTTGCCTTAAGAGGAAGAAACCTGCTTACTAACACACATTGATCGACTATATCCTCCCAGCTTCTCCTCAATACAGTGCAACAGTGGTTTTCAAATCAATTACTAATTAAGATACTAGAATATTTTTCATATAATAATTGCCTTTTCCCCTCATTGTTTAAAGTGTATTGTCCTGGCAAAATATGTGGATGATTGAGCCCTAACAAGTTTTATTTTTAGTTTACTTTTTGGTTTAAAATCTCTGTTAGTTAAAAACACTAAATGTCACGGCTTCAAAAGTAAGAAGTTGAAACGAAGAAAGAAGTCGCTTGATATGCTTGTGTTATTTAAAAAAAAAAAAAGCAACAAATACATCATAAATAATAAAAGCAAAGTCTACTGAAATCCCTTCTAAAATGAAAGATTCACTTTGTAAGAAGGTTGAAAAATACAGGAGTAG